GGCAGCTCTCCCTCCCCTGCTGCAGCTCTCTACGGGCCACACTCTCTCCCTTTGGGCTCCCCCTCCAGCAGCAGGAGCTGCTCTTCCACTGGGGAGGGCGATTCCCGGGATGGGGGACACCACTTTGCTGTAGCCAGAGCACACAGGACAAACAAGCAGCGCTGCTGACTCTGAAACACTCGCTCACCTGCTCCTCAGGCCACCTGGTCACCCCGAGTCTTACCCATGGGGTCACCCCGAGTCTTACCTGTAGGGTCACCCCGAGTTTTACCACACACAGCCTGTTCCTCTCTGCATCACTGCTAGAGGGCGATTCCCAGGAGGGGGGACACCACTTGGCTGTAGCCAGAGCACACAGGACAAACAAGCAGTGCTGCTGACTCCGAAACACTCACCTGCTTCTCACACCACCTGGTCACCCCAAGTCTTACCCGTGGGGTCACCCCGAGTCTTACCCACACAGCCTGTTCCTCTCTGCATCACTGCTGCTGTTGGTCAGGCTCTTGGTCCTCCTTAACACTCGCTCAGCCCTGCTCCCCAGGCACAAAGTACCAGTGCTTTAAGCACGTGGGGCTGAAATATAAAATATTTGAGAGAATAACAGCAGAGGACTGGCTTGAATTGATGCCACCATCAGGGACAAGTCTGAACTCTCAGCAAGAGCCCCCTGCTCCTGTTGTGCCAGAGCCTTCTAGAGATCACTCTGACTTCAGTGTCAAACATTCAGGCCCTTCCAACAACCTTGGCCCTTACAAAAGTAAACCAACTGCTGGACATTTCCTACACAGAAACTACCCCACGCTCCAACAGCATCTTACCGGTGGAAATCAGTCTGAAGCTGGTGAAAACTTGGTGTTTGTCACTCAGCATCTCTCTCCTCTTAGCGTATTCAGAGTACAAACAGCAGCAAATGAATCTCCACGTATGAACCCAATTCAAGCTTGCTGGGATCCATAAACATGCAGATTCCAGGGAAGATCATCAGGTCATTGCCAGAAGGGAAGCAGAAGTGGCGACGGTCCTCCTCCAAGGGAAGCGAGCAGCATGTCCTGCTCCTTGCTGGAATTAGTTTTCCCTCTTTGCATGGAGCTCAGACCAGCTCAAAAGAAACATCTACATCCCCATGGACCCTCCTCCAGGGGCAGCACTGCAGGACCCTGCTGAGCACGAAGGAGTCACTCAGTGGTGAGAACAGGCATTTCCTTTCCTGGCCATGGTCCCTTGCTTCTGGCCCAGCACAGACCCCCTTTCAGCCCACCACCCCGCGGGAGACGGCTCAGTGGACACTCACTGTCTGTGCCTGGTCTCCACACTCTGGAGGACAAAGAAGCACGTTGAGGGACTCAACTGACCTGGCTACCAAAAATGCTCGAGATGTCAGTGTGTCAGGGACAAGCAGCCTCATCATCACAAAGGGCACAGGGGCACCCACACTGCTCTGCCCACTTTTGTAGGATGTCACAGGCTGCAAGGCTGGAGCCAGGTGGGTCCATGCTGGTGCTCCTGGAAGCCCCATTCTCCTGGGAGATGGTTTCTGTAAGAAGATCTGGGGGGGTTTGGTAGCTGGGAGCACTAACCACAGGTATCCACATGTGGTGGGAAATAGAAGAACAAGACAGCTGTGGCCCTGGTGAAAGAAGACACTTAGAAGGGAGTAGCCCTATATTTCTCTTGCATATGGACTGTAGATAGGCTTCACCTGGTGGATCATGGAGGGCCTGAGACAGGGGTCGCAGTACAGGGGTGAGTTATCAGATATAAGTAAGACAATCCTTGCTTAAGATTAGCACACAATATACACGTTCCCAGCAGCAGCTGGTATCAATAGCTCCAAGGAAGGAGGTGTGGGATGGCTTGCCATGGGTACATCCTCACCAGTAAGTGTCTGGCTCCTGCTGCTAGGCACATCATTATATTTTTTTTGAATCTAAATTGCATGATTAGAGACTGCACTACTCTGCCACTCCACCATCATGCTCAGATATTAGAGAGAAATAAACTTATAAAAGCCTTCTATCTGTTGTTGTTCTGTTCATCTGAGATTGAACAGGAACCTACACAAACTGCACTGGGCATGGACTGACATGCAGGAACTGGCTGGGCTTCCTTCTCCAAAATAAACACTTACTCACAGTAGATTTTACTGAATTATAGTTTAATTTCATAATTTTCTGTTGCTTTTTCTGTACAACATTGTACAAAATATAATCCAAAAGAACATTTCAGCCCCACACGGATGTTTGACTGGCTGAGGATCCAGTGGCTTTGAGTCTTTGATCCATACTCTCCTGGCTTCTAGATGTTGTCATCAAAGTCCCTTTGGTGCTAAGGCTACAACGCTGGATGTTGGGAGGGTGATCTTAACATTTTTGTTTTCCAGTCCCCTTCTCCACACAGTGATGGAAACCCCAGCCATGGCAGAGGATCTCTGGTGGCACCTCATGCTTCTGGTCAAACATGAAAGACTTTTAACCTCTTTTTGCATTAGGCAAAAACATTCCAGCCATGTCACAAGGCAGGGGCAGTTGTGTTTCAAAGGTGATAATAATGAGGTGGTTGAGGACTGATACATCCTTTTCTACAGCACTTGCTGTAGTAGGATTTTGAAGTACAGCTCACACTAATACAGCTGCTTCTAGATCTCCATTTCCATCCCCATCAAGGCATTTTCCCCATGAGCAGCACTACCCCATGTCAGCCTAATCTGAGAATTTATCTCTTGCTCAGATAAAAGCAGCAGGCAGATTTTCTTTACAACTTAGAGGTTAAGGGAAACAACATACTTAGCTGCTGCTGGTAGTGGAAACCATGCAGAACTGCTTCTACCAGAATTAGGAAACCTGCTGAGAATTGCATGGAATCTAAAATGATTGCTTCGTATTAGGAAAACACACGTGAAAAGGCCAGTTTCATACATCTGGGGTGTTAAAAATATTCTTGTTGCAGCCTGACAGCAGGTGAGCAGAGTGGCAGAATGATCTCTCATGCCTGTTCCCTCCACAGAAAGTTTCATTTGGGCCAATTATTTTTCCTCTCATCTTCTGTGTTCCTGAAGCTTCTCATCTGTGCTGTAAAGGTCTAGTGGAAGGCCAGGATCATTACAAAAAGATACAATTCTCTTAAAGATTTTTTCCCCCTATTTCGACTACAATGCGGCATCATGTTCAAAATGCAACTACTGGATCTGAAAAATGAAACTCTCAGGCTATAATGCACATCTGGAAATAAATTCATAGCCTTAGTCTACAGCCAGTTCTCAGTGACAACCTCCTCGTTTGCATGGCAGTGCAGAGATGTTCTCAGGAAGGTCAAGCTACAGGGTGGAGTCTGAAAATAAGAGAAAGAGACAAGCAGATCAATATTGCAATGAGGAGACAGTCTGGAACACACACTGGACGGGGGACCTGAAACATCACAGGGCCAAAAAGACCAAAGTCTGCAAAAGGATTAAAGGGATTCAAGGAATTTAACTGACCTGTTTTTCCACTCATATTATCCCAATGGGGTATTCTGAATTGCATTACATTATCACAGAATGATATGGGACTGGAAGGGACCTCTGAAGATCATCCAGTCCAACCCCCTGCCAGGCAGGGCCACCCAGAGCAGGTTGGAAATGGCCAGGAGGGTTTTGAATGTCCCCAGAGACAGAGACTCCACCACCTCCCTGGGCAGCCTCTTTCAGGGCTCTGCCACCCTCACAGGAAAGAAGTTTCTCCTCATGTTTAGATGGAACTTCCCATGTTCAAGTTTGTGTCCGTTACCTCTTGTCCTGTCACTGGGCACCACTGAAAAAAGACTGGCCCCATCCTCTTGACACCCACCCTTGAAGCATTTATAGGTGTTGATCAGACCCCCCCTCAGTCTTCTCTTCTCCAGATTAAAAAGACCCAAGTCTCTCAGCTTTTCCTTGTAAGAATTCTAGTCCCCTCATCATCTTTGTAGCCCTTTTCTGTGCCCTCTCCAGCAGTTCCCTGTCCTTCTGGAACTGGGGAGTCCAGAACTGGTCCCAGTGCTCCAGATGGGGCCTCCCCAGGGCAGAGTAGAGGGGGAGGATGACCTCCCTTGACCTGCTGGCCACGCTCTTCTTAATGTCCCCCAGGATGCCACTGGCCTCTGGGCCACAAAGGCACACTTCTGGTTCATGGGCATCCTGTTGGTTGACTCAAGCAAAGGATATGGTTTTTCACATGGAAAAGATGAGGGGTGATGGGTACAAGTTACTCCCAGGGAGGTTCTGATTGGACACAAGAGGAAAATTTTTCACACTGCAAACGATCAGTCATTGGAATAATGGGAAGTGGTGGATTCCCCCTACACTGGGCACTCTTAAGATCCAGCTGGATAGGCTGCTGGGCCATCTTTGTCTAGTCCGTGCTTTTGCCAAGACAAGTTGGACCAGATGGTCCTTGAGGTCCCTTCCAGGCTGGGATTCTGTGACTCTATGGTATTTCACAGTGAATGGAGTAAAATTGCCAACAATATTTATCCATAAGCGTACCCACCATGTGTCTATCCCCAGTCAACTACACTGATTCTCTGTCCACATCAGGATATCCAAGGACCCCCTTTAACTCATATCACGTTCCTCTCTTTCCTCCCTTCTCATTGCCTTTGGCCACCTAACACCAGCTTCACTGCTTCACCCAACCTTGCACACCTGGCAGAGTCTTCTGTTATGCAGCTCCTGCACTGCAGAAAAATCTAACCCAGATATTATCTTGTTAAATGAAGATGGGATATTTCTTTCTAAAAGATTTGGTCAAGGTCATCCAAAACCTCTGGCTCATGTAGAACTCAAAGTGTTTCTCTCACATCTGCCTTCTCATTCCTATTCCTGTTTCACACCTTACCACTAGTGGGTTAGTTCAAAATTCAATAAAGCAGTCCAAATATACACTGCCTTATAGGAGATCACTCTTGTCAGTATGGCTGCCATTTATAAGGCATCTTGACAGCAATGATTTATCTTGACATCACACGATGAAGGAAGAGAAGCATCAAAGATTGTTACCTTTAATAGTGAGGAAGGCTCTGCTTAATGCACGGCCCAATTCGTTGGTGGCTTCCACCACATATTCTCCTTCATCTTGCTTTGTGACACCCAGGACGACCAGGGAGCAGACACCAAAGTCGTTTGTGCAAAAATAGGAAGGATCGTTGGAGAGGTCTTTACTGTTCTTGTACCACCTGACCTTTGGGGGTGGGTGGCCTCCAACCGCACAGCTCATGTGGCACTCGCTCCCGGTGGTCACCACGTGAGGCTTCAATGGGACGAGGAATCTCGGGGGCTGGTTCTGATTAACTCCTTTGTATTTCTGTGGTCTGACTTGACATTCAACTGTAAAGAAAAAACAGCAACACACAAACACACACTCAGGTGCTGCTCCACAGCAAGAGAGGTCAGGGTTTAAAGGGCTGGGTTTCAACCCTGACACTTGGTTGTGCGGAATGTTCTGCACCGCAAATTGCCAGAGATCCCATGCACTGATGGACTGTAATCTGAGTTTCTTCTCAAATTAGCCAGAATTTAACTTTGAAGCCAGAAACTTTGGTTTCTACAAAGCTTAAGCTGCAGATCTGGCTGGGAATTAATTTTGTAATTAATTGCATGATATAATGACTGGAAATAAAGAATCTATCTGCACAACGTCCATGCAGAAAGAACAACCCTTCCCTGCTCAACTGGAATTTTTTAGGGTATCTCTATGCATTTTTGTTCTGGGTAAGGAAATGCTCGCAGGAGGAGAGACCCATTTCAGGATGGTGTGTTAGAAATAACAAAAGAAACAAAGCATGACAACACACAGATCAATACTTGTAAAAGCTGTTTTACCCTTTGGTTTTTTAATTCTCCAAGGCTGCACAGTTTCAGAGGGACCACTGGTTCCCAAGTTATTTTTGGCCACAACCCTGAAGTAGTAGTCACGGCCTGGGATCAGTTTGGTGAAGGTGAACTTGTTGGTATAGATGAGGTCGCCCACCACGCGCCACACGCCCTTCTGCGATTCGCGTTTCAGGACCGTGTAGTAGAGATTGCTTTCCCATTTCTCAGATGCTGAGGGCTCCCAGGTCACTGTCACCGTATTTGGAACATTCTCTCGCAACTGAATAGGTCCAGGAGATTGGGGGATATCTGTCAGATGAAGGCAAGGAATATTAAAGGTGTAGGGGAAGTGGCACAAAACAGAACCCTGGAAACTTTGACTGCGTTCTGTGTCTGGGGCTGAGTCATCCTGGTCATTAGAAGGGGCAAAATTTAATTCCTTCTCCAGACACACAAACTCATTTGGCATTGACTGAACTCGGGCTGCATCATGCCTCCTTCCCTTCTCACGGGGAGGAGACCAGGGCTGGCACAGCTCAACACTTTCACCTCTTAGGGAGCCAGCACATAGAGTTTCAGCTACAACTAGATGTCCTACAGCCTGCTGCCGACTGTCACAGAGCACGAACTGCTCCCTGTGGTTTCACTCTCCAACTGACTGTCACACAGCACAAACTGCTCCCTGTGGTTTCACTCTCCAACTGTGTGACCGTGACTTTTTAAGGAGAGTCACTCCAGAAGCTGGGTGTAAGTTTAATCAGTAGGTTTCTCTGTCCTGCAGACACAGCCAAGTGACAGCACAAAGTGCCCAGGCCGAGTCTTACAGAAAACTGTTCTCCAGTTGTCCCTGTTCCCGATGGGTTACCTGCTCACCCTGCTGAGCTCGGCTCGTTGCCTGCTGCCATTCCACAATAAATCAGTATGTATTTATGGTAGTGAGTGAGTTACCTGTAACTTGAACTTGGAAGCTGAACGTTTCCCTTTTCCCTAAGCCGTTCTGGAGCTCGACGGTGTAGGTGCCAGTGTCAGTGAACTCGGCAGCTCCAATCAGCAGCTGGGTGGTATCATCTTTGGTGTTTACTGTAGCCCGGTCTGGAAGAGGAAGCCCATCCTTGAACCAGGTCACCACTGGATCTGGAGATGCCTGGAAAGAACAACACGAGTTATAGCCCCCTTGTTTTGCCTCCAGATTGTGTCTTTACATTTTTAGCTTCATTATCTTGTCCCAAATGTATAACTACCTGACATAGTAAAGTAATATTTAGAAATGTGTATCCAAGACGGATCTAAAAGCCCTGGATAAAGGGCTGATTTAAAGGTTCTTTGTAACCTTTCTCCTTCTCTCTGTCTTTTAAGAGTGTTATTGTAGTAAGGTGTTCAGGTTAACTACATCAAACAAGGTGTGCTAGATCAAGAACAATAGATGATCTCATTAGTTCAGGTGAGTTCAGATGAGTTCTACTTTCACAATAGATGAGCTCATTAGTTCAGGTAAGTTCAGGTGAGTTCAGATGAGTTCTACTTTTAAAAAGATCTGCTGGTTTTGGAAAGAAAAAACATTCTCTGAGTCTTTATTCCCATTGTGCCATCTTTGGTCTCTATTCTCCAAGAGATTAGGAGAAAGGCCAGCAAATACGCACACTCTGCCTTTCTCAACCTCTTCCTGATATCCCAGACTTGACCCATGGTGTTCCAAGCTCACATCAAAGCCCACAGGACTCCTGTCACTGATGCCTATTTCTCAACTCCTACAGTTTAAGTCCCACTGCTTGGAGAGACAAACACAGTCAAGAGGATGTTGCTAGAAGTGCTACCCCAAGGCTTTCTGAAAGAGCCAGAGGGAAGTCAACTGATATTTAAACTCTGACGGATTAGTTCCAGATGATGACAACATTGATACGGGTGGATGGACAGCACTGGGCCTTGTTTGCAGAGGTTAACGAATGACCACAATCTCATAAAACACTAATCCCAAGGGCAACAGTTGAATTCTTGTTCGTGTTTTCCTCATGCAGAAAGGAACACACTGCACAGGCAGACTAAGGGACTTGCCCAGTGTCTTGTAAACAAAACCCCACACCAAGAAAATAGTAGCTCAGTTTTCACGTCTGCTATTGACGACAACACAGAAACAGGTGGGGAATTCTTGCAAACACATTTGAATACTTACTTCAAAGGGAATATTCACTCGGATGGTATTTCCTGCTTTTATAAGCAGGAAGCTTTTCACAGTGTCATCGATCTGGAACCTGGGAGGCACTGGAAGAGACACAAATTACAATAAAAAGTTGGGCATTATTACAGAGTCACTGGGTGACAAACTCATTGGCTGTGATACCCCAATGCCTTCCCAGCCACCGCTCTGCAGCTGGCCACGACCTCACAGTGGTACTGGGGGAAAAAGGACCTTGATTCAGAACCAGAGTATCCATCTTTCACATTTTACTACTATTCGTTTATCACTATGACTAAACAAGGGGAAATGATGTAAAAATGCATTCACAACAGTGTTTGTATACATGTGATGTCTCAATCACGGAGAAATTGGCTCTTTGACACACTTTACCCCATCACATGGATGATCTTTTGTGTAAAATGGTATTTGAGGAACAAGAAATTGCAAAGGACACATGAAATATACGTGCAATACAGAGTATGGAACATCCTGAGGAAACACAGTTTATTATTTTTTTTTTTAGTATTTAGAATACTTTTTCTTTCTGTTCTCTTTTAATCAATAAAATACACTATTATATTTAGCATTATCCTAAAAATGCCAAATAAAATAACACTAAATTGTATTTAGCATTTCCAGATGGACCTATATTTATCTGTTCCCTGATTCTTTATAAAAGGAGTCTCCAGGCACAGGCCAAAAGTCGACATTTTCACTTAGGAGCCAAGTTGAGGAAGATGAATCCCTCACAGAATTATCTCTTAGTTCTGTATTTCTGCAATATTCCCAAACAGCGGGGAAAAAAACCCCACAGAGCTACAGATTGCAAATAAAGATGAAAAAGTGAAAAGGGTGAAAACTTGCAAACTAGAAAATCAAAAAGGAATCCAAAATTTACAAAAACCAATATAACAACTGCAATTAAAGAGAATGAAATAAAATGCTTGATTCCACAAGACTGTATAAAAATAGACTGAAAACTCAAAACTCATTTTTTCCCTGTAAAAGAACATGGGTAGGCATAAGGTGTGTGAGGTTTCATCTGTGATCATGACTGGTATAGCTCTGCGCTCTGTAAATCTGAGGAGAAAATACAGTTTTGGGGGTTCTTTTATCCTAATAAGCCCTTAACACAAGCTGAACACTGAGCATTGCACATTTATTATCAGCTAAATCTTCAGAATTTCCTGATGAGGTGACCAAATAGGACCATACTGTAGAGGAACAATGAAGTACTTGCCCTTCTGTTACAGTCTGGGCCTTGAAAGAAGCTCATCACAGCAACCTCTGGACCTTGCCTGCATCCTCTTACCTCTAGAATGACCAGGTTCATTCTGAACACAGCCCTCTTTGACTCACCTACAGGAGCAGCAGATTCCATGACAGCTTCAATCTCTGTGGCTTCTCCTGGGCCACTGTCATTGAGGGCTCTCACCCGTAGGAAGTACCTCTCCTTGGCGAGGAGGCCTTTAACTGTGTAAGTGGTTGCCTCTATGGGAAGGGTGTTGCATTTGGTCCAGTTGAGGTTGTTAGAAGACCGTATCTCCACCTCATAGCCTTTCACATCACTCCCATCTTTCGCATCAGGTCTCTTCCATGTCAAGGTGACACTAGTGCTGTTACTGCTGCTCACTTTAAAGTCCTGCACTCGACCTGGAGATTCTGAAAAGAGAAATTTTATTGAAACTATTTTTCTAGGATTTCTGTTCCTTTTTCTCAGTCACTTCCTGAGATCCCCCAACATTTCTGAAGTGGGACATCCACCCCGCTGTATTGCCTCCCCCTTGTCCCATGTCTTCAAGGCTGGATTCAGGTGCTGCCAAGCCATGCAGTAGGATCTGAACCTCTCCTGAAATGGTTCACAGCCCATCCTGAACACCTCTCCATCCTCCATGTCTGCCACATCTTGACTTAGACATCACACAAGAAATCCTTCCATTCCTTCCTCACACTGACAACAGATTCTCAGCCATGAAATATTCCCCAATTATTTGATCTTTGCCTTCACATACTTTTACAAAGTATTTAAAAGCATCATCTCTCCACTAGCATTGCGAGTCTACATGGCCAGCTTTACTTGTCCCCAGGCCAGAAGGATGGGACACAGTGCACTTACTCGTGGAATCCCGTGCATAGACAGGCTGTGATGGTTCACTGGCATCTCCAACACCAGCAGCGTTGACAGCTGCCACCCGGAATTCATACTGCAGACCTTTCTTCAGATTGGTCATCTTCAGCTTCTTGTCTGCAGAAAGAAAAGGAGCACGTTGGCTCAGGTGACGTTCAATTATGTGGAACTTTACAATGTAGAAACGTACAGTGTTTACTCCACAAAGAATTGTGGACTGCATAATTCCTGGGAGCTGTCACCCATTCTCCTGCCCTTCCCTACCCTTCCCTACTGCACTGGGACATGTTCATTGTAGTTCCTTTCAAATCAAACAGTGTTTGAGAGTTATTAAGTTCAAGAAAGGATAAACAGTGTTTTTCCTCATATGAAATTCCTAAAATCTTCTATATCAAGTAAGAAGTCCTAGCTTGCAACTGGTAGATAATTGATGGCTCCACATTTTGGAGCTCATACTCATCACTTGGGTTTCTTTATCTTCCTCGTATTTGTAAATTATTGTCTGCCAAGTTCCTAGCGTGAGGACTAAGGACAGTAGTTCTGCATGGGAAGACTTTAGATCCAGAAATTGAAGACATCGATTTATCTGTAGAGGAGCCATGTCCCAGGGTGTAGCACTGAGCTTCTCTGCTCTCTTCTCCAGCCATGGGCTTGCACACAATCTAGAAAATATCATAATCTTCCTCCCAGGCATTCAACTGTAGATAAACTCAAGACCCAGCCTTGCTATGGCACAGTGTAACCTTACTTGCAAAAAAAAACGCTATACTGGAGCTGAGAAATAAAAGAAGGTAAAACTTCAGCCAGGTGTAATACAGTTGTGATGGGGACAGTCAGCAGCTCAGAAATTCAAGAGGAAAAACACTGATGTTGAAAGGTGTAAGATCCTAAGCAGAAAGTTAGGAGTTAGAAGGCAGCAACTCCTTAAAGATCAGCCTGTTACCTCCTTGTTACCCCCCTGTTGCCCCCTAAACCCAGCTGACCCTTTTTTCTTTTCCAAGTCCTCCCTTCTGTTCCAGGATTTCAGCTACCTACCTGCTATGGGCACACTGTTGACCGGCAGCCAGGTCGTGGTGCCCTTCTTGCGTTTTTGAACGATGTACCCCACAATTCGGGAACTGCCAGTTTTACGAGGTGTTTTCCAGGATATTGTGATGGTGTCTCTGCTGGCACTGACAATCTCAGGGGGATCTGGGGCACCAGGTGAAGCTAGAAGGAGATTAGTGTTTCATTAATAATGTATTTTTATTGCGAGATAAGAAAGTGTTCTGTGTCATTTCTTCTTCCAGTTTCCCCAAGGTATTCATGAGTATGTGTCCTGCAAACCTGACTGAAGCCTGAAGCTGCGTATCCTATTCCCCACACAAAGAGGATCCAGCATGGACCTCTGCTTCTCAATTCTGTTTTCTCAACTGATCTGCCATCATCACAACTGACAATTCCATTGGCAGCCTATGGAGTGAGGCACGTTATTCTTACAGGTTAGGAAAAGTCAGTGTTATTCCTGTTTTTAATGACAGAAACTGGAAATGGAATGGATTTTCTTAACCCACAGGGCTTCTCATAATCATAAGAAGTAGAATGTAGTAAGAAGAAAATTGGTAATAGAGCATTGCTTTCTCTCTAGAACTACATTCTTGCTCATGGTAAAACTGTTCTAGTATTAAAATCATTGAAGGACAAAGAATAGAACTAGTTGCTTGGAGATGAGGGGAATTAAGTGGTCATACTGAAGAATGCTGCACAAGTGGAGACACTCATTTGCCTGTGGAATTAAGAAAAGGCCTCACATGTTCCCTTTGTAGCCACCCTGGGAAAAATTTTCTCTGATCTTGATGCATCCTGCAATTCCCCCCTGAAACGTGCTTCCCAATTCAGAATGGAGCAAAACTGAGAACGTAACACCATCTCACTCAGCATCACGGCAGCCTGCAACAAACTCCTAATCTCTGTGTGCAATCTCCTACATTCGTGTGAAGACTTCACAGCCTTGATTCAAGTTTAGATCTGTAGCAACACCCAAAGCACGGTGAGTTTTCTTTGATGTCAGCTTTGTTAATGAATTCCCCAGATGGTTGTCAAACACAGTTATGAGAAGTTCTTCCTTACCTTTACTGACAGCCTTCACTTCCCCTGATTCCAGCGCATCACTGGCACCCTCAGCGTTCACAGCCCTCACCCTGAAGTAGTAGCTCATGTCTTGTTCCACTTTGTTGGTGGTGAAGGTAGTGCAGCTCTTGGGGGTTTCTCCCAGAGTCACCCACTCGCCCTTCCCCACCTGCTGCCTCTCGATAATGTAGCTTTGCACTGGTTTGCCCCCATCATCCTTTGGAGGGTTCCACTGAATGGTTATGTCGCTTGCGGAGCTTTCTACAATTTTGATGGGTCCTGTAGGTGGCTGTGGCTTGTCTGGAAAGATGAACACAGAGACATTGTGAGCTGGCTCCAGACCAGCTGGCTCCTGGGTTTGGAGCAGACGCCGTCTTCTTCTCACCCGCTGGGAGACTCTGTTTCTGGTGGAACACACGCAGAGTTGCAGAACGAGGGCTGGGCACTTGAGTTGCCTCTTTGAAACTTCCACTCTTCTAACTTTGGGTAAGGAAGAGGCAGGGGGAAGCCAGGCCCTTGCCCCATGGGCTAATTGTTCTCATAAGCACTGCACCAATTCACCTTGCTCATAAGGAAGAACAACATTTGTGGTCTTCCAAAAGAGCACAGACCTTTACGGTAGGGCTGAATTTGGCCTAGATAATCCATTTTGGATTTGCTCATTGGGCATAGTCCCATCTCCCACAGCCACCCAACACCCAAATCTCAGCTGCCGAGGCTGTGCAAAACCAAACTAGATTTGTGTTACCTTGTATTAAAGGGCAAGAAACGTGTCAACAATCTTTGCTTGTACCCTGATTTAGTGGAAAATTACATAATTTTGTTCATCTTGGACCACCCATTAGCTCTAAATAAGCTCGTCACCAGTGTCGATGGGTTCCCTGCCCACGCTTTACAATGAAAGCCACAGCAGATGTTATGGGGCTCTTACCTATCACCACAAGCTTTAAGTTGATATCCAGGATGCCACTGTCATTCTTCAGCCTGACTTTGTAATCCCCACAGTCCTTTCTCTCACTGTTGGAGATGGACAGCATGGTAAAGGTGTCTGTTTTGTCAACACGAACTCTCGTGTCATCCATGAGCTCCATCTTGTCCTTCAGCCACGTTGCTCTGACCGGCAGGCGGCCCTCGAAAGGGATTTTGATCTTCACGGTCTCCCCTGCCTTGGCCACAGTAGGAACACTCGCTAGGTTTCTGAGGAGAACTTTGTCAACCTGCGGAGGATCTAAGTAGACAACACAAGGTCATTAAGAAATGCAATTCAAAGAGGATAAGGCTCATCTTGCAGGGAAGGGCTTTCCTTAGGATGCTGCCAGTAACGTCTAGAAGTTCAGAATGTTTGGACCTTCACCTTTCATTGTATGTCCAATGCTTCGCACACGTGCATATACTTTGCTACAGGATAATTGTGACAAACTATTTGTGGTATCATATTGTCCCTTTACACTGGAGCAGATTTCTCACAGGCAATAGACTAAGCACAAGAATGAAGGCTCTGGTCTGACAACGTGTTATGTGCACCCCAAAATCTTTGACTTAATAATAGAAGCTACTCAGGTCGGCTTCCTAGTTAAATTTGTAAATACAAAATGCACCAACCTGTACAAACTCTCCCATTTACATCGTAATTCTTTATAATAAAGTTGTCTCAATAACAACTATAGATCTCCGAGAAAACATATTACATTTAAAGCACACGGAGGCTGGCAGGCTCATTGGGGTGGGAATGGACTCACCTTCAACAAAAATTGAAGCTTCCGTTTTTATATCTCCACCTTCAAACCTGTATTTCCCAGCATGAATATCTTCCACTTTGTTAATAACTAGTTTGTGGACTAGACCTTCCTTTTCAAAAGAGACTCCCTCCATGCTTGTTAACTACAAGATAAAGCACAGAGACCCATTCTTAAAACAAAAAAAAAAAAAGGCAACTGAAACTGAAACTGGACAGACAAAAACTTGAAATGTAATTGAAAAGACTTGTTAATGACATGCATTTTTAATTACTATAATATTCTAGGATTACTCATCTGGTAATGTTGCATATAAGCCTTATCAACATATTCCCCACAGAGACTTGATTCAAAGTCCATTAAAATGAATTTCAGTAAAATCTCCAAGCTCTCTCTTTCTGTCCTTAATGACAAAACCTTTGGCTCACGCTCAAGTACGAGACCTCTGAACTCCTACAGCCCCGTCTGGATCCCACAGCTGGAACTACTCTTCAGTGCTGCTTTGGAACAGAATGTGTCTATGCTTGACCTTAAGCACTAATTTGAAAGAGCAGCCTTTGTGTTACACCTGCCCAAAGGATCCTTTGAAGATTTTCCCTCACTTTTTGCATATTTCTCTCATTCACCAAGGAAAAGAAAAAGGATTGCATTGCGAGGGAGAGACCCACACCATCTCCCCCCATGAAAAAGAATGGAAAATGCAAAGCCTCCTGCTGTCAGCAAGAATGGCAATGTCTTGTAGCAGGAACTGGGAGAAATCTTGCTAGGTTTCTATCAAAAATTTTATTACCAACAGGCTCCTGCCTGGGCCATCCTCAGCTGCAGTAGGACTGGCAGAGGGAAGGACACCTTGACACGACACTGAGTAAGAGGCAGAGCCAAGAGCAGAGCATTGCTAACCTTGTGTCCTGGTTTGAGTGACACAGGGCTAACTCCTCTTCTAATGCTTGTGAGAACTGCACTTTTAGAAGACTCTGGTGTCTGAATTTGTGACAGTATTTACTTCACAGCCAGCTCTGGTGTGTGGGTTTTCAAGCTCCCCAGGTGCAGGGACGAGGAAAAGCAAGACCCGGGCTCTTGACCCAAGCTGCCAACAGGGTTATTTCATACCATGAATGGCACATTCCATAGAAATTAGAAAGTTTGCTGGGTAGTGCTCTCTCTCTGTGTCTCTATCTTTCTCTCCTATGATGGCTGCAATCCTGAGAACTCCTTGCCCTGGTGCTGGAGCCCTGAGCCTTTCCCTTCCTCCTGAAGCCACAGCGCTCGCAGTGTCCCACACTGGCTGTCCCTGCTGGGAGGGCACGGCTTCCTGGGATGGAATGGGCTGGGGGTAGTCCTTGTGTGTTTTATATTGGTATCAGGATCAATATTGGTTCTTTAGTGTTATTAATGTTAAATATTTAGTCTTATTCTATTAAATCAATTTATATTTCAACCCTCAGCTTTCCTTGTTTTTCCTGATTCCCCTTCCCAGGTGGGAAGGGCTCATCAGGTAAGAGAAGAATTGTCTGAATGACGATAAATTGTTGTGGGTTTCTCAAACCAGAACACTCAAGAAAGGAGCAGCTAGAGGACACCTACCTTCAATCCATCTTTAAACCAGGTTCCTACCACGTCGTGTTTGCTGACGGTGCAAGACAGCTCAGCTGGTTCACCCTTCTGGACCCTGACGTTGATTAAGTGTTTGTTGAGATGACAGCGCGGTGCTGAACGTTCAGAAAAGAAAATGGTGAAAAGATGCTAATTCTGTGTTACACTGACAGAGAGAAATACCTGATGAAAATGCTTGTGCATGTGAGGAGAAAAGAGAGCTTTTTAAAAACTATATACTGTACCCATGATGGGCTTTTGCACCACAACCCTATGGGCGAGTTGGCATCAGCTCATGGCTGATGGGGACATCCCAGCTGCCCCACAGTAGAGTCCTCACATCAACCTCACGGGCAATGGATTCATCACAAAACCACATTATCCATCTACAAATTTGCTATTTAAGCCTATGCTAATTGTCTGGGCTCCCTCTACAGCCAGTGGGAATAAACAGGCTGCTCCAGGATATGGATACATCACTTCGTCATTCTTCTCCTCTGCACCGACGGCACAGGCTGCCCAAGCACCTCCCATACACAGCCCCAGCTCACACTGTTCTCTGTCCCCTTTATTCCTCTTTCCCTTCCCAAATTCTTCTCCATTAACAGCCTCATTCCCCTCTCTCATAAACACCCCACCTCCTTCCTCATTAACTCCAGTTTTGTTGATTTAGTTTCCTTATCTATATTTGTGTTTTAGCAGCCTTTATAATTTCTAATTTGCCAGTAACTCCCTTAACCAGTGTCCCTCTTCTGTTGTACGTGTGCGGCTTCTCATTTCTACAGTTTTCACATCATGCCAGCATAGCCACTGGTCCTGGTCAAGTGGCTGCACACACATTACTCTCACTATATCAAACACTTTATTATTTCTCAAGCCACAAGAAAAAAGAGCTCTTTACATTAGGTGCAATGTGCTTATTAATCCAATATAATCAGGCACAGATTTGTCCCCAGATCTTGGAAAACCACAGGTATTTGCACTAGATGTAGAAGAAATAAAGTGAAACAACAAGGTCTAAATTGGAACAATACCAAAGACACGTGGCCATAGTCCTTGGAACTACATGGGAACCGGTGTGTTTGTGAACTGAAGTCTGTTCCCTGTGGAACTGAATAATTTATTTGAACAGATGATACCTGTTTTAGATATTTTAAATAAAGATCATTTAGACTTGTAAGGTACTTTGATCTGAGCAAATTGTGTAAAGTCAAACAGCAGATCAGCGGTAGAATTAGGAATGGATCTCAGTAAAACCAAATTCCTACATAGAGCTACCTTTGTTGAAACCCTAAGATTCAATTTCTCTCCAGGATGAGGAATGTGAGTATCAAAATGGAATGACCAGCAATAGAGAAGCCATCAGAGAAACACATACCTTTCAGATCATCTAGGCAATAACGTCTTCTTTTTCCAATACTGTCCGTATTTGTCAAGAAGTCATTTGCTTTAAAATCAAGGCTGGGTTCCTCTTTCTTCTGGTTTATTGAAGGAGGTCCACCATAAAGATCTGACATCTGACCATAATCCAGGGAACCTTGACTAAATCCACCTGAACCGCTCCCACCAATAGCTCTGTTATAGGATTTACTCCATGCCCCTCCAAAGGCAGCATTTTTGCCATAAGGGGAGCCAAACTGTCCTAAATCTTTGCCCTTCCCTCTAGCATCTCCTTGACCTGAAAGTGAATCTCTGTCTTCAGATGAACCTTTGTGCCCTGATCCTCTGAAATCACCACCCTTTCCAATTTCACCTTCCATAGAATATTTGCCAGGATGGGAATCCAGCCCACGTTCACCACCTCGTCCACCTTCTTTACCATGGACTGACCGTAACTCCCTTTCGTCACCTCCCAACCTGCCAACGCCTCCCACGACAGCCCTGGCTCCATCTGACCCACTGTCCTTGCCATAGGGAGACCCAGCACCCCGCATTGCAGAGCCACCAATACCACCACCTTCGGAGGAAAAGCCATCTCCTCCTGCTCCACCTATATACCCTTGAACTCTGCTCAGTGCAGCGTCCCTGCCATGCCGAGCTCCCGTAAGGTCATCACCTCCAAAAGGAAAATGACCAGCTCCTACCCCAGCCCCAGCTGGGAGACCATCCTTTCCATAGGGAGCCCCAACTCCTCCTGCACCAGCAATACCAGCACCACCAAAGCCCCCTCCAGCTGGGAGACCATCCTTTCCATAGGGAGCCCCAGCCCCTCCTACACCAGCTACACCAGCACCACCAACATCAGCACCAGCTGGGAGACCATCCTTTCCATAGGGAGCCCCAACTCCCCCTGCACCAGCTGCACCAGCACCAGCGATGCCAGCACCAGCTGGAAGACCATCCTTCCCATAAGGAGCCCCAACTCCTCCTGCACCAGCTACACCAGCACCACCAGAACCAGCACCAGCTGGAAGACCATCCTTCCCATATGGAGATCCAGCACCTCCAGCACCAGCTACACCAGCACCACCAGAACCAGCACCAGCTGGAAGACCATCTTTCCCATAGGGAGCCCCAACTCCTCCTACCCCGGCCACACCAGCACCACCAAAGCCTCCTCCTGCTGGAAGACCATCCTTTCCATAGGGAGCCCCAACTCCTCCTGCACCAGCTACACCAGCACCACCAGAACCAGCCCCAGCTGGAAGACCATCTTTCCCATAGGGAGCCCCGACTCCTCCTACACCGGCCACACCAGCACCACCAAAGCCTCCTCCTGCTGGAAGACCATCCTTTCCATAGGGAGCCCCAACTCCTCCTGCACCAGCTACACCAGCACCACCAGAACCAGCACCAGCTGGAAGACCATCCTTCCCATACGGAACCCCAACTCCCCCTGCACCAGCTGCACCAGCTGCACCAGTTATACCAGCACCACCACCACCAGCCCCAACTGGAAGACCATCCTTCCCATAGGGAGCCCCAACTCCCCCTGCACCGGCTACACCTGCACCACCACCAGCACCACCAGCTGGAAGACCATCCTTTCCATAAGGAGCCCCAACTCCCCCTGCACCAGATACACCAGCACCACCAACACCAGTTGGAAGACCATCCTTCCCATAGGGAGCCCCAACTCCTCCTGCACCAGCTACACCAGCACCACCAAAGCCTCCTCCTGCTGGAAGACCATCCTTTCCATATGGAGCCCCAACTCCTCCTGCACCACCTAAACCAGCACCACCAAAGCTTCCTCCTGCTGGAAGACCATCCTTTCCATAGGGAGCCCCAACTCCTCCTGCACCAGCTACACCAGCACCACCAAAGCCTCCTCCAGCTGGAAGACCATCCTTTCCATATGGAGCCCCAACTCCTCCTGCACCACCTAAACCAGCACCACCAAAGCTTCCTCCTGCTGGAAGACCATCCTTTCCATAGGGAGCCCCAACTCCTCCTGCACCAGCTACACCAGCACCACCAAAGCCTCCTCCAGCTGGAAGACCATCCTTTCCATAAGGAGCCCCAACTCCCCCTGCACCGGCTACACCACCACCACCACCACCAGCCCCAATTGGAAGACCATCCTTCCCATAGGGAGCCCCAACTCCTCCTGCACCAGCTACACCAGCACCACCAAAGCCTCCTCCTGCTGGAAGGCCATCCTTCCCATAGGGAGCCCCAACTCCTCCTGCACCAGCTACACCAGCACCACCAAAGCCTCCTCCTGCTGGAAGGCCATCCTTTCCATAAGGAGCCCCAACTCCTCCTGCACCAGCTACACCAGCACCACCAAAGCCTCCTCCAGCTGGAAGACCATCCTTTCCATAAGGAGCCCCAACTCCCCCTGCACCAGCTACCCCTGCTCCACCAAAGACTCCTCCAGCTGGAAGACCATCCTTCCCATAGGGAGCCCCAACTCCTCCTGCACCAGCTACACCAGCACCACCAAAGCCTCCTCCTGCTGGAAGACCATCCTTTCCATAAGGAGCCCCAACTCCTCCTACACCAGCTACCCCTGCTCCGCCAAAGCTTCCTCCTGCTGGAAGGCCATCCTTTCCATAGGGAGCTCCAACTCCCCCTGCACCAGCTACACCAGCACCACCAAAGCCTCCTCCTGCTGGAAGGCCATCCTTTCCATAGGGAGCTCCAACTCCCCCTGCACCAGATACACTAGCACCACCGAAGCCATCCCCAACTGGGAGACCATCCCTTCCATAGGGAGCCCCAACTCCTCCTGCACCAGCTACACCAGCACCACCAAAGCCTCCTCCAGCTGGAAGACCATCCTTCCCATAGGGAGCCCCAACTCCTCCTGCACCAGCTACACCAGCACCACCAAAGCCTCCTCCTGCTGGAAGACCATCCTTTCCATAGGGAGCCCCAACTCCTCCTGCACCAGCTACACCAGCACCACCAAAGCCTCCTCCTGCTGGAAGACCATCCTTTCCATAGGGAGCCCCAACTCCTCCTGCACCAGCTACACCAGCACCACCAAAGCCTCCTCCTGCTGGAAGACCATCCTTTCCATAGGGAGCCCCAACTCCTCCTGCACCAGCTACACCAGCACCACCAAAGCCTCCTCCTGCTGGAAGACCATCCTTTCCATAGGGAGCCCCAACTCCTCCTGCACCAGCTACACCAGCACCACCAAAGCCTCCTCCTGCTGGAAGACCATCCTTTCCATAGGGAGCCCCAACTCCTCCTGCACCAGCTACACCAGCACCACCAAAGCCTCCTCCTGCTGGAAGACCATCCTTTCCATAAGGAGCCCCAACTCCCCCTGCACCAGCTACACCAGCACCACCAACACCAGCACCAGCTGGAAGACCATCCTTCCCATAGGGAGCCCCAACTCCTCCTGCACCAGCTAAACCAGTACCACCAACACCTCCTCCAACTTGCCATCCACCTGGACCATATAAAGTCTCCATCTCCCCCATAGAACTGCCATCTTCACTAGATGTAGCCCCGTGTCCAGCTGGAAGACCATCTGGGCCATACAGTAAGCCAGACCTTCCTGCTGTACCTAAACGACTGCTACCATGAAGGGGCCGGCCATCGCTGCCATAGAAGGTCCCTATTTGTCCCTCTCTGTTTACACTTGCTCCATTCAGGTCGCCTTCAGTGGACAAACCATCCTTGCCATAGGGGGACCTCATTCCTCCTGCAATCTCTGTACCTGCAGCATTCTTTCTAGCTCCAGTCCCTGAACCAGTCCTGCTGAATAGATCACCCCTACCGTCTCCCATTCCAGTTGAATCTGGATCGAATTCATCTAACACAGAACTTCCATCAGTAGCACCTAATCTTCCAGCACCCCCAAAACCAGCTCTGTAACTGGTATCACCTAATTTCCCATCCTTGTTATGCTGGGAGCTGACACCTTCATCATCCATGTCAATGTTATTGGCACCCAGCGTGCCCTTATGTCTGCCAACCACAGAGTGCCACTCATTTGCTCCTCGCAATTCATCACCAGTATCTTCTCTGCCTGTCATACCATCCTTGCCATGGACGGGCCTTAATCCACCTTTGCCTCCAAAGCCCTTAAATCCAAAAGGACTACCAGCATTTTCCACTGACTCTCCATCTAGGTCTGCTCCAGAAGACTGCCCAACCCCCATCTTTTCACTTATGTCAACTTTGCGTAGCCTCTCTTTTCCCAAAAATCTAGGGACTCCATCAGCATCACTGCCGTCTTCAACAGTTCTGTACCAGCCATCATCTTCCATGCCAGTGTCCATAAGATGATCTTCATCACCATGATATTCTCCGCGTCGAAGTTTCTTAGCCACTTCTGTATCTGGCAATGTTTCTTTCCTCCACCCAGTTTTCTCTCTTTCACCTCCTTCATCCTGTCTCCTCTTTCCTTTGGCATCTGTATTGAAGATGCATTGTTTGATTGGAGGAGACATAATTTACAGAAAGAGAGGAAAAAAAAAAGAACAGACAAACAATATGTCACGTACTCATCAACAACCAAAGAAAATGTGTTATCATTTGTCATAATTTCATTCTAGGACACAGAAACACAATATATTTAAATAAATTTAAATTCAATTCAAATCCTGAATTTTTTCAGTGTCACATTCAGATATAATTTTACATTTCTTAGTTAAAAAGACGATGATTTTAGTGGACACATGTTTATTAAAAAAAAACCAACCAAAAAAAAAAAAGCAGAAAAACAAGGCAAATTTCCAGCATGACAGGTCTAATTTAGAGGGACTTAGATTGTATTTGGGCCTCATTAGTTCCTTCTGCCTTCTCCCTACAACCCTGGAGGAGCTACAGAATATCCCAGGCACAGAGTGGTCTCAGTCCCCACCCCTGACTTAGGATCTCCCTGCCACCAGGGGAGCTGGCCCATGTGGCACCTGGCATTTGGGACATGGCCAACCTTGAGACTAAAGATTCCAGTTCTGGGAACAGTTTTGTATTCATCCCAAATTCAGGCTTCTCTGAGACAGAGACCGGAGCTGGAAGGTCAAGCCCAGTTTTGATTTCCAGGCTGGACATCGTTTCTGTGGAGCATTAACAGCTCAGTGAACGCAGTGGGCAGTTTCTCTGTATCTCATACTCAACCCAGCCTGTTTCTGAAAGGTCATCAAAGAGCTGTTATGAGAGATCACCTTTTGCTGCAGCAAAGTCTCAAAAGAAACCAAACCTACTACCTTTCAGAAGCAAAAAATATGAGCCAGTTAAGTATTAATCTGCTTGCACTGAAAGGAGTGTTTCCCATTGTCCCAGCTTCCTTTGAGCTTCCTCTAAGCTTCCTCTGAGCTTCCTTGAACATGTTTAACCTCTAATTTGGAAAGCAAAATCCTATCTAGCAAGATAGTATTGAACAGTCCTGATAGAATTGATAGTACTGAACGCTCCTGGATGCCCTGTACGCTGTGTTCACACAGTGACAGCTTCATCAAAACACATGTTGAGATATGGAGTGGTTTTTGATAACTGACAGAGAACATGCTACAGCACAGCAGCTGTAGAGGAAATAAGCCAATAGGATTCGTCAGGACCAATCATAGAATCACAGAATGGTCAGAGTTGGAAGGGACCTTAAAGATCATTGAGTTCCAACCCCCCTGCCCTGGGCAGGGACACCTCCACCAGACCAGGTTGCTCAAATAATTCGGGAAAAAAACTGTCTCATCCGAAGGGGAAAGAGAATCGAACCAGACCTTCATTTTTCCAATTATAATTTAGGAACCAGAGACTCCATAATTCATTTCTCAGCATAGAACCACCTCAATAAGCAATCAGGCAGCGAGAGGAATTACTATTTTGTTAGCACACCTCAAGCCAACACCGTAGGAATAATTCAGTGTCACTTACACTCCACGATAAGCCAGGCATTCGAGGAGCAGAGCCCAGTGTCGAGCGTGTACATGCCGTTGTCAGAGGGGGCAACCTTCTTGATGACGAGCTTGTGGGTGAGGCCGTCGGGTGTGAAGGAGATCTGGTGCTTCTCGCTCGACTCGAGGAGGTGGGTTTTGTGCAGCCACACAGGGTCGAAGCAGGGCGTGCGTAGGATACACTCAAAGACAACATCTTCTTCCTCGGGACAACGCATGTCCCTGAGTGGCTTCTCAAATCTCACAGGGATGGCTGCAACGGGAAAAGCAAAAGCTATAGAAAGGAAACACAGAGCTATTCCTGTTATCCAAGAAAAAACGTATTGCAGCTGAAGGAAGAAAGACAGGCAGGAACTTGCCGTGCCTGTGAGCACTGGTTTAAGCAGAAAAAGGTAACACTGAGATGTGCTCCTGTGCCCAGTTCTACAGGACAGAAAAGCAGAAAAGTGGATTCTTGTCTTAATTATCTTCTGAGACATTTATACCACACATCACTCTGATGTGCTGGTTTTTGTAGTGATGAATGCGTTCCAGCAGCATGATAACTGTATCAAGTTGGTAGCTATTATTCTGAGTTTACAAAAGAGAACTACAGCATAGGGTAAATTAAGGAATTTGGCTCCAGAATTCAGAGCCAAACAGGTACTTGAGCCTAGTTCTTTGGGCTATAAATGCAACACCCATATCACAGAATCACTGTCCTGCTCTTTTTCACCTCTGTCATACAAGGACCCCTTATCTGGCAACACAAAAGAGTCTTCTGTAGTTATCAGGTTTTATTGCTGAGCTTTGCACACGTTCCTAGACAAAATTTTCCAGCAAAAAATAATCTCTTGGTACAGTCACACATCACATACATCTAACTCAATTCCTTACCTTCAGCTTCCAGTTCAGTTGAGAAAACAGGTATGTCCTCCACCCTGACCTGATACAAGCCTGCGTCTTCTGGCTGCACATCGTTGATAATGAAATTATACTTTTTGCCAATTCGCCTCAGGCAGTGTTTTCTGTACTCATCCCCCATTCCGTATCTGAGCCTCTCACCATCCTAGGAAGAGAAAGAACGTGCTCTGAAAGGCAATACACAAATAGCTCAAGGTATTTCAAAAACATCAGCCCAAATTTGTGCTACAATTGCCTTATTGATATAAATGAGTAACAACAGAGAAGTCTACACTCTACTGCTACTCCCAGCAGAGACATTATTGGACAGGGTTCCTGCTGATGTGAGACACGGGCAATAAAATCATAGAATCATAGAATCACAGAATCATCTAGGTTGGAAGGGACCTTAAAGGTCCTCTAGTCCAACCATCAACCTAACTCTGACAAAAAAATAAATAAGAAATAAAAATCACTAAACCATATTCCTAAGGACCTGAGTCCTGCACAGAACTGAGCATCAGACTCTCAAACTAGGCACAACAATAGTATTTTGTGAAAGTAATTTTGAAGACAAAATCCTTTCCTTGCTTAGATTTTAGCACCCCTACATTTGGATAACGAGCTCACCACGTTCCTAGCTGTAACTCACTTGGGTTGCCTTCTCCACGTGGTGGCCACATAGACTTCATGTCATGTGTTTGATTCAGAAGTTGATAGAGTTAGTCTGACCTCCCCTTTAACGAATTCTGATTTCCCCTGCATTAAAGCCACTCACCATAGTTTGACTGAAATGTATCTTCCAGAAAAACCTCCACAGCACAGATCACATCAGAATAACTACAGAACTAGAGGGGCTGTTTTACTTCCTTGAGATCTTCTTTCACAGAAGTGAATTATAGTGGAATAACACACTTGAGAAAGTGAATAAAATCAGTCTGTTTTTCTTATATGACACTGCAGAATTTCTGCAGACACCATTAAAATTCCCTTTTATTGGAAGAGCTCTTGACGTCAAAAGGGTGTCAGTAACTGACCATTTCCCCTGTACTTGGATCTACAAATCCCAAGGGATGTTCACCACCAAACACTACCTGGACCCCTCACCAACATTTCTCCCGAACCAACCAGGGATCCTGCAATGGACAAACCACCTTAAGAAGCTGATTTGTTCTCAGCCACCCCCAGCAGATCCAACATTGTCTGCAGAAGCCTTCAGTGGCTGCTGTGAGCAGCTCATCTCACCCCCTCACCTTAAGCAGATAAACTTTGCTGCTACTGCTTTTCAGGTCCATCTCCAGAGAGAACGTAGCTTTTCCCTCCTTGTTGACTTTGATGTGTTCAAAGTTTTTGATACTGTTTATTAACTGCAAAGAAAGATACAATAACCCAGTAAATGATAAGGCTGCCATGAGAGAAGCTCTTCAGCTGTTGAACTGATGTGGAATCTGTTTTTTATCTGCATAGAAAAGAGCTACTTCTAATGTTATGTGTGTAGCAGAAGTACCTGTAAGGTTCCACGGTTTCCTCCTTATATTCCTTATATTTTATGTGCTGCCTCCTGGTCATTCACACACTGTGCAACCACTATCTGTCCAGGTTTCTACATGCCCCTCTATGTGAAGGCCAATTCTGACTCTCAGGCATATAACTTTTCAATTTGGGGTCTGAATTCTCATCAGAGGCAACTGAATACAGAATTTAGCCGTGTGGTTTAGCAAAAGGGATACCCCAAGGTCAGTATCTCCTAAAATATATGAGTGAACTTCAAAAAGTACATTTTCTTCTGCGTAAGTATAGAAGTAGGACTTTTCAAAACATTGTTATAAATTGTTCTCTGTCATACAGTAAATTTTCATCTCCAAACCCTTTTAGGAAGGTTTAGCCTGTTCTCGGAAGCTACTGAGAAACTGTGGGACTCTGTGGACTGTTCAAAATCAGTGCTTTCAGTGGTTTGAGTTTATCTTACCTCTCCTTGTTCACTCTCTGTGTCCTTCCTCAACTCCTGCAGCCTTCTCAGCATCCCACGAAAGTCAACAATTCCATATTTCAAACAGATTTTCTCATAATCTTTCTTGTCTGCATGCAGCAACAGTTGCCAGACTGCTTCTTTGTCCAAGGGTTTGGGTTTTGGTGTTGGGGCCCTTAGAAACAGGGGAAATAAAATAATCTAGACATTTTAACATACAACAAGATACGTGATTCCGTGATTCTTCTTCTATACTTAATCCTCCCATGTCTCTCTCCTTCATTTCTCTAGTTCACTGGGCCCTGTAGATGTACACAAGAAAGAATGGGACTCTTCCAGAACAGGTTTTCTGCATCAATACTACAAATTAAATGCTGCCAGGGAACAGTCTTTCCCTGGACCATATGGGGCGAGACTGTAAAGCACCCGTCCATGCTGTTAAATGATAGCAGAGTCACTGGCACAGTCTGGCCTGGCCACTGTGCACTCCCCCAAGTAATTTCTCAGCACAGTTCAGGGTTCTGCACAGGCCAGAGATCATTCCCATTAGGCAATGTTTGGAGGTTCCCGCCTGGGAAGTGAAGGGATCTCTGCAACGTGCAGGTGGCAGTTTGTGCAGTTGGCCTGGGAGCCAGGGCTCAGTCCCTGATTAGCCAGAAAGATCATTACCTGAAGCTTTGTCACTTGGCCAGGAAGTTACTTGTGAGCTAAAAGCAGGAAAGCAGAGAAACAGACCTTTAAACTCTAACTCTTGTGCTGCAAAGGAACATACACCTCAAAAAAGGAGGTTGGTACCCTGTGATTATCTCAGCCTCACAAACTGTTCTGTTATATCTCACAATATTGAGTCTCACAACAACTTTGGGCACAAGAAGAGTTGCTTTGAAGATCTCTGAAGCTGAAACATATAGGTAGTGTAGCAATGGCTTCCTGATGGAGCCTTACCGCTTCCTCAGCATCTTCCTGGAGTCCTGAAGCTTCTTCTTTAACTCTATTAAAGAGGAGGAAACAACAAACATTCTGAATTACCCAACACTATAAAATATATCCCCGAAAAGAAGATAATGCAAAATACCCACTGACATTAGGCCATCCCACTATGCTGTTTACTCTGGTGACTTTTTCACACTTTACAAAAAAGAAAAGTGTCATGAAACTCAGCGAGAGTTTTCTGTGCCATATCCATGTCTTTTCAGTGCCATTAAAGTTCTTTGCTTCCCAGGGGCTTTCCTCTTTCTAGAGAGGACACTCTAGAAACACATGCTAACATGTTTGATCCAGCTGTATTTGACATCACCAAATAATTTTCTAGCACTAATGATTCCAGAATCATCAATTAGAACAGCTCAAAGCCATATCTAAGATGGTCACTTTACCCAAAGGTAAATACCAAGCAGAAAGAGACAATGAAACATTAGATTTGTTAACCCTTCTCTTACTTTATTCTTTACAACTTTGGGGTAGCAATAATGTGGTAGACAGAGGAATATTAACTATACAGCCAAAAATTAACATATATGTATATAACTAACACTCACTCACCATCAGCAGCATGAACAGGAACATATTTCGCCTTCCTCTTAAAGCCAACTGATTGTTTATGAGAGAAAACAGGAAAAACAAGCCGTAAGATGAAGGAGGTAACAGTCAGACTAACACCAGCAAACCAATGAACTATAAAACCTCTGTATGTTACCAAAGCACAGCATACCAGTCCGGATTTCCTTGTCAATCTGACATTGACTCCCATTAATCTCCATCTATAAATGCAGTATTTCTATTGCAATTGACTCTGTGCTGACTGGATACTCTACACAGTGGAGGAAACTGTTTCTGCCTTATGGAGCTCATAGTTTAAGGAAAGGTAGGAAATATTAACAACCTGTTTTAGTGATGGGGAGCCAAGGTACAAGGATTATCTGGCCAAATGCAGCCAGTTGCCTTCTAAATGTACTTTACAGGCACACAGGTAAAATGGACACTGCCAACATAATCCATCTCCTGATCAAGCAGACGCCAAGAATAGGTCAGTTACATTTTTGCCACAAAGGGCCCATTTCTCTCTCTTTGACAAAGAGAAGCAAGGGACTAGGTCAGGTGGACACAAGAGACATCTGAAGTGGGATGGATGCCTCCCAAGAGAGTGGTTTGTTCAATATCATAAAGAAAGGATTGAGCCAATTCAACGCTAAATCCAGAGCTTCTGGTTATGGTCCAGTGCAGTGACCACACCACCACTTCCTTCTCCCCAGAGCTCATTCTGCCATGGAGCCACCAAAGTGGGGGGAGTCACAGAAGACCCCAGTCCTCAGTGAGTGGAAAAATAGACCTTCACACAAAGGATATAATTATCCCAGACAATGCTCTGGGCGCCCACCCCCAGGGGACAGCGAAGTCAACTACTTAGGACCACAGGACACAGGCAACACAGTACTGGTGAGTCCTACCTTGTATGATCCTGAGCCCAACAGAGCAGGAAGCTTCCCCGTATTCATTCACAGCAAAGCAACGATACAAATCGCTGTCACCCACCGTGAGCTTCTTTATCTTAAAAGAAGAACACAGTACAAACTCAGAGCTGTGGTTCAATTCATAGACCTTCAGCTTCTAACAAAACAGCTACTCAAAGACATCTCAGATCTTTCCTCTGTTCCCAAAATGACTCTAAAAAGCTTTGTTTGCTTATCTTTGTGCTATCTCAGATCTGGTGACATTTACACATCTCCCTGCCCGCTGCAGGTTTGTCCTTTCCATTGCTCTCTCAGTTCCATGAGTCCTGTCCGAAATATTTGATCTTTACCTGCAGAATGAATTCACTTGTGGCATTATTGAAGAATATTTCATATTTGGCAGGATCATCCATTGCTCCTTGGCCACGTGCCCATTTCACCTCAGGGGTTGGGACACCTTTGACCACAGCTCTGAAAATGGCATCCTTACCTTTGAAAAGAGGCAAGAAATTAGTTATTTAAGACAGGTTTGGACATGAGGACTCTCATTCCAGGCTCCCTGTGTTATCTACCCAGGGAGGTGGCTGAGTCACCATCCCTGGCTGTGTTTAAGGGCCGTTTAGATGCAGTGCTGAGGGATATGGTGTAGGGGAGGACTTTGTAGAGTAGGGGAGATGGTTGGACTCGATGATCCCAAGGGTCTCTTCCAACCTGAATGATTCTATGATTCTATGATCAACAGAGTGATCCCCAGAGTAAGCCCTCTCTGTTGTTTTAGGCAGAAACATTCTTCAAATATAATTCTCTCTTTTTGTTTTCTCTGTAAAAGATGCCTAAATTTAGTTGCATTAAATGCCCAAACTCCTGCAAGACATTTGCCCTAATCTCCGCTCTAACTCACAGACTTTCAAAGAGAATACTTGGAAACTAACTTTAAAATTCACCACTGACACATACAGTGGTCACACGCAGGTCTCTGCTGGTGTTTTTACTGCACAGCCACATGGATGGAGAAATTATGTACCCAAGAGAGCACATTTTTGGTATCTTGATCTGATTTTTAACTCCCTCAATATTTGAGCAGGGCTAAAGAGCAAACAGTTATTAGCTCAAGTCCTTTCCCCACATCAATAATATCACGTTTTGCCTGTATTCAGCAATAAAAGGCCTTTAAAATGTGGTGTTAGCCCAACAGACGTGGCTGTTAATATTCTCTGATCATCTCCGAAATCAGCGGCACTAGAGCAAGCTCAGCCCAGGCTTGCTTCTGGCAACGTGCACACACTGCTTGCACCACAGCCACAAAGCACCCAAATCCATTCTCACCTTACACACATTCCCCTACAAGTTCCCATTGCTTCTCCTTTCCTTCAGACTGTGCCCTTCGTTGTGACCCTGCTGAGCAGGATGTTAAATGACACAGGACTCACTGTGCTGGAGTCTCCTCTCTCTACACATCAGTAAATTCATCTGTGAATAGTTGCAGCTCCTGGTATTTTTTTCATTTGGATAAATTTGGATTCATTAGGAGGTGGAAACAAGAAGATACCCTCTCTGCACATTTAAGAAAGCACGTTCATACCAGACAACACTGCACCACAACGGTGAGGACACGTGTGGGTGGGGTGTTCCCCCAGGTACTCCCTGCATGGCATCTTTCTGCAGAGTCTTCCTCCTCTGCCAGCCTGGCACCACCTCACACCCCAAACACACCAGGAGGGGGTTTACCTGGGAGCTCCCTCCTTCACCTCCACTCCCTCAGAACCTGCCTATCCTGCAGCTGCCCACAGAAATCTCCAACAGCTTTGCCACTGCCTCCTATAAAGCTTTCCTTTCTCTTCCAAAAGGCTCCAAAGACACAGGAAACACTACGACCCAACACATCAGAGAAGTGACTCAGGTGTAGGTAAGTGGGAGTGTCACAGGGGGATTGAAATGGAAATGAGTCACTCATGGATAACTCAGGGAAGAAATGATTACTGTCTGCCTTTTGCAATAGTTTTGGTCTTCAGGTGACCAACACTGTTAACATTTTTCTCCAGAAGGTCTTGCAGTATTTCCTACACTCTTCTGCAGTCACCAACAAAACACTTGATACAACAAGCTCCTGTCACGTACCAAAGGGCATCTTCCAACTTTTTCCGAGACTGCAGTACTATCTATTATTAAAGTCTCTTTCCAATTGATTCTACCTTTCAAATGCTGACCATTCTAGGCTGCAACTTCCCATGCTTGACATCCACAGCTAGCACTATCAGCTAATCCATGCACTGAATGCAATGGGGAGATGATGATATAATTAAAGACACTCATCGTGCATCTGCATGGACATGGCCTTCAGTTTCCACAGTGACCGACCAGAATTCCCTAATATTTCTTATGTGAATTATGAGGAACTTACTGTAAATGGAATAACTTGGAAAATGTAGATAGGGTGACTGACCACTGCCTTGGTTCATGCCTGAAACGTGCAGGTGGAGGAAGGTGGAAGAGGAGGAGGAGGAGGAGGAGGGAGGTACCACTAGAGGCCACTGTGCTCCTTCATAAAATCTCAACGGCCGGTGAAAATCAACAGAAGGGTGTGACGACACTGAAATCCAGGGTACTGGGAACGGCTCAGCCTTGGGAGGGAAGAGGAGCTACACAATGTGCCCGGGCTTTCCCACTCCACAAAAGTAAAAGTGTCTCTCTGCAAGGGCAGAGCTTGCTGGAAGGCTTCCAAACACTTTTCGGTCTTGGCTTATTAATTGCCTTCTCTGTACCCTATGGAAGATCCGTATTGCTTCTCAAAGGAGACGTACAGTCTAAATAATACCAGCAGTCAGTATATCTTACTTTCAAAAGCAGTTGATTTTATGTGCTGAACACTCATAATGTAAACTAGTTCAATGGGAAAAAACACCTTTTTCAATGTGCTTAAACTTTTGCTGCAAAACACTCTGAGAGTGGGAGCTTCCTGCAGAATTCACAGCATTTGTTGTATACATTAGAAGCCAGTTTTTGATCTTGCATACACCAGTGAAAACTCAGGAAACCTTCATCAGTATGGAATTTTCATCAGTACAACAACGATTTTGGCCACACAACACTTTTCTGTGGTCTAGTCAAATCTCTTTAGAAACTTGCTTGATTTAACGATGATAATTGTTTCATGTAGGTTAGATGTGGAGCCAAGCCTCCACGTCTATGACTTTGGACTGTTTTTCAAGAATCTCACCTTCCTGCAATGTCAGAGAAACAGGTTTCCGCTCAAAGTCAGGTGTACTGCACCCATTTGGAATATTATCCACAAACTGGGTGATAAGAACTCCTGGGACAGCAGATTTCTTGAAGGATTTTACTGGAAAGGCAAGGAAAATACATTTGATTAAGATGAAATGTTTGTGCTTTAGAAACAGTCTCTCAATCTGTACTGCCTCCCTGCAGAACAGGAACTGTCTCTGCTCAGTTCCTCCTGCGCTACAAAGGACCCATCTGTTCTAGTACCACAGGCTCCAAGTGTCTCCAAAGGGTGGAGCATGAAGCTTTTGTGCTTTTGTGCTGATTTCATGCAAAGGTAGGGCTGAAGTGGGAAAATCTGCAACCAAGATCACAGTCCAGGCCACATTGTCTTACGGGTCTAGCACTGATTTGAATGGAGAATGCTTTACATCAGTTATTGTTCCAAATAAAACTTCAGAATCTGGCATGAGAAAGATGGTATTGGCAAAGGTCAGCAGAACCTGATGGGCCAGTTTCTGGCGTCTCACCTCATGGTGGTGGGAGACAGATACTCAATCACCAAACAACAAGAAAAGCAAGTTGGGGTTATTCTTGGGGGTTCCCCAGACAGTTTTCACAGCTGTGTCTGTTCTCTCACCTGTCCGGTTTGTCATGGTGCTTTGCTCAGCTCCCTGGGATCAGTTCAGACTATGGGGTTCTCCTGTAGAAAAATGCAAATAATTTCATTGTTTACAGCTCACAAGGGAAATGACCAACCTTGGTGATGCTCACTTTTGCAATGCGTTTGCCCTTCTTCACTCGCCACAGCAGCCAAGTGGAGAAAGAGCTGCTGGTCCACACATGACGTGTCTTTCCAAAACACATTGTGACACAGTTTTGACCCACCACAAAGCAGGTATGAAAACGGCCAGCAGGGCTCACTGGAAAATGCACACATCTAACAGCATCCCTCTGTCACCTCTTCCATTTCCATGTCATCTGGCTTCCCTCCAAAGACCTCCTCTCGTGTTTCAGGCAAATATTACACCACATGGCACTCACGTGGTGAGTTCTGATGGATGGCAAGAGCAGTTGCTGAGAAGAAAGCCACAGAGATGGATGTGGCATGAAGCAGAAGCACATCCTGATCTAAATTAGCTTGTTTAAATTAGCAACAAGCCTGAGAACAGACTATAAACTACTAATTACTTTAGAAGGAAATGGTGAAGTGTGAAGTTGGCATTAACTAGTTATTGTTACAGATCATTCGTGACCTTCTGCCAAAGGTGTCTCTTTCTCCATATTTATAAAGTGGACAACGTGTAACGTAACACATCACTATCTTGCAAGCAAACTGTGAAGGCAGATTCCTTGTCATATGAGAGATGCTCAGAAACTATAGAGTTACTGCAGCTCTGAAAGAGCAATTAGATTAGATTCCCCTGTGGGATTAATGCCATGTCTCTACCCTCTGCACTCCTTCAGTCAACACAGAGTCACACGAGAACATGCAGCTTTTAACACTTTTAAAAGGCAGATGGACGTGGTCAGCACCTCTGTGATCTGAATTCTGCTCCCTCCATCAGACCTTCATCCCGCCCACCATTGCCACCCCACACCTGAGGGAAACTCCGTAGGATCCCAACATTTCCCAGTTATATGTTTACCTCGGAGTTGCATTATCTGTGTGATACTTGGTTCCAGCTAAGATCAGAAGACACCCAAGCTAACAAAACTCATCCGTGCTCTATGGCCCATAGAAAAAAGTGTACCTCATGCTACTCATGGAACAAATTCTGAACCAAAAGGATAAACTTTGTTTTTCCGTTCATCAGTGGTTGCAAATAGGAACAGAGACATCTTTCCACAACAAATCACTGGCTCTGCTGTTGTCCTTAACACAAATTTTATTTTAGGGCTCTGCACATTCTACAAATCTCATAAATAACTACTGGATCATGACTGATTACTTGGAAAATCATTCTGGAAGCCTCGCTGCCTTTAGTGGAAATGCACGTGAAATAACGGGAATGGGAAAGGACTGAGGGAACGACAGCCAAGTCCTCTCCTTCTGTCACCTCCCCAGCCTGGTCGCTTGGGGGGTGCTTCTGTTGCTGTCCACCAAAATAAGAGTTTTACATTTCAGTGTCCCAGCTTTTGTATGTTGATATTTCAGCATATCACGTAGTTACTTCTTGATATTTTAGAGTATCACGTAGTTACTTCTGTAATCCATTGGTAGATGTTTTAAAAAGTGCAAACGAAGGGAATGAACAGCTTGTGGGAACGAAAACACACACAAATTAAATGAAAATAAGATGATTCCAGGGCACCCTGATCTGTACCAGGCAGGGCATTGCACAGCAAATACCAGAGATTTTCAGAGACTCTCCATCACCCTCTTCTGATGGACTTAATTTGTCCTCCAAAGTACTGAACTGTATTAATAGCAAACATTATAATCCCCTAATTGCCTTTTGCAATCTTCTATCTTCCTAAACTTGTCACCACTCCTGTAGCTGAAATGTCTAATGCTTACAACTTTCAACAAACATAATTACTTGACAATAGCTTCTGACAGTATTCCCTGAAGCTCTTCTTACATTAAGCTCACATTTGTTCTTTGCTGCTCCCGACTTTTTCCCTCCACTCCAGGCAATACTGACAAGCATCTACACTGAAACATCAACATGATCCAAATTCTCAGGTCCAAAACCATCAAGAAACTTATTATTGTCTTATGTTACCAAATGCATCACGTCAGACAGTTGTTCTCAGTCTGGTGTGACTGTGTATAAATGTTAATGCAATTATAACCTACTGAGAGATGGCAACGTTCACAACTAGTTTAAAAAAAAAAAAAACAAATACTGACAATATTTTTATTGGTAGTAATAGGCACCATGTATGCATCCTCCCAATGTACAACATGCACTATATGCACTATGCATAAACTGCTGGCCTTGAATATTTCAGAAATTCATTTGGATTAAAGATAAGCTGCTGTGAGTCCTTAAACTCCTGTGAATTCTTGCCTTCTGGTGAGTGAGACAGAAGCATGTTAATGCCACACATTGATTGCACAGTTAAAATAACAGTGCCAGGATATGCAAGAGAACATTCCTTCAGCGTAATTAATCCAACCACATCATATTTTCTAGTGTCTTCTGTGTTAAATAAGGACCAGAAAATAATATATCAGCTGGCATAGAGTCATTCAGACCCTGCTCTGTTTACTTTTAATGTTTCTACTCCCTTGTTAAGTAACTATGTTTTTGCTTTGACTTCAGTTCAACCCCACAAAAAGAAATCAGATTTTTTTTTAAAAAAGACAGCAAAAACCTTCCAAAAATTGTCAGAGTGTAATTCATATCTCTACTCACAGCTGCTTGAAACAAAGGTGTCCACACCAGGGTGATCATTGAGGCTCCAATTCAACAGAGGCAGACAAATACTTCCACAAGGCAACCTGCCCCCTTAGATGAAGAGCTGTTGACCAGCATGCCCAGCAATCCAGGGCTAACGCTGGAATTATCTCAACACTCTCCCTCCTCTGACAAACACATCATTGTCATGCATTTGCCTTTCTCAGCCAAGACCTGGCTATTTCTCATCACAGAAGTCTGTCAGCTTTTCAACTGCGGAGACACCCCCTTTGGGGACAGTGGCAAAGCTCCCAGGGCTTTGATTGCAGAACAGGAGTGAGCCCATGACTGCTGACAATTTTTTAATCCACCAGAATAAAGCAGGTAGCCTGGCAGGACCAGAGCTCTGCCCTTCACCTTGTCCATCCATCAATCTCTCTGGAGGAGATGGAGCGAGAGCCCGTTCCCTTTCACAGTCAGACTGGACACCAGAGGCCATAAATCAGGGAACTGAATATGCAAAACATTTGGGAGCCACAGGATTTGAAGGTACTAGTGCTGTCACATGCGGTTATTTATGAGGTTCAGACAGTGAAACACACAGACAAGAAGTGACATAATTGCTGGCAGAGACTGGTGATAAAAATTAGCCAAACTTGTAGAGAAGTGCCAGGCAGGGAGGGGTCCGAATGACAGAGATGGGTCTGGAGGCTCGTGGTGTCCCACAGACATCAGCACAGTAGATGTGGGGTACAAAGCCATTAGCACAGACCACAGCAGAAGACTTGAATCTTCATCATCATAAACTCAGCAGCAGCAGATGCAGCATTCTGTTTCTCTTTGTAATTCATAAAAGTCAGGACAGACCCTACACAGGGAGTGTTCTAAGCAAAGTACTAAATTGTTCTGTGCTCAGTCTCAAATTCTAGCTGTGCTTTGCACCAGAGGGCCCAGATACTCACTGAGCAGAAGGATGTCTCACCTAAAATTTCTCTTTTAGCTTTGGGTAGGCTTTCTTTGTTTATTTGTTAACTTTAAGTAATGTTTTGAGCTTAAGTCTTCCCATTTCAGAAGACTTTTAAAGGAAAAACCTCAAAGACTTTGCTCAGAACCCCAGAGCTGAAGGCCACCCACTGCAGAAGTGCAGCTTCATGAAAACTTTTGAGCAGGTCAAAGAGGGGGAACGTCACCAGCTCCCCGGTGATGAATGGAGGGCTTGTGGAGAGTGGGGAGGGATGCCCAAGGATCAGATTTTGTGTGACTTATCCCTGCGGTAAATCAATACTTGACTTGATCTTCTCTTCTGCCTGAGGGATTAGGAATATAACATAGGCGATGGCTCATGCGGTCCACAATTTACGTACACATACACCAGATACTCCGTAGCTATTTACTCATGAAAGTGGCATTGATATAAAATGCCAAAAGGAGACACACACCATCTATATTTTCTAAGTGAAGGAAAGCAAGGAAGCCCTGACAGCGGTGAAGAGGACAGTGAATTCACGCCAGTTTGGTGAGGCAGGTCTGGGATGAGAACACGAGAACAGGTCGGTCTATCCCTTTCACCGTCCACAACATACCCAGGAGTTCTTTCATAACACAGATACGCATTTTCATACGGTCAATAAATTTATAGAAATATTGCAGAGCACATACAACCAAGTGTTACTAAATGACCAGAAGAAAAAATAACATATCCCTGCTTATTGCCTTAAGAAACAACGCGTCCAAGATAAAAACCATTAGAAACCAGAGCGTGACTTGTGAGTCCCATGGGACAGTTACAGCAGATCTTCAACCGCCTCCCACCTTACCATGGAAATCAGCATACGCTGTAGGGGACCGCTCCTCCCAGAACATTTCCACCAACGTTCAGACCTACTGCAACACAGAGCGATATCTACCACGCCAGGGAAGGCGACACTTCCTATCCCAGCTCTGTATCACCCCCACGCAAATCCCCGTGGTGACACGACCAATCTCACCACCTTACAGGTTAGGCTTCTGAGATGATCCTGCTTGAAGGCAATTCTGTGTCTCCTGGGACCACGGTGGTTTTGTCTGTTGACTCAGACCACACAGCTCCTCATCGCCGTTCAGCGGGTCGCTGGGTCTTGATAGTCACGATCTGTATGAAAGAAACCACCCCCCTAATTAGTCTGTTGTAAATGTGACAAAGTGGTAAAAGAAATGACAAATTCTTGTCCCGCTCACACCTCTCCACTCTCCTAGAAGCTGGGTCTGTGCTCAGGAGCTGCCTAGCCAGGATGTCTCTACACTGCGCCGCGCACGATTGTAGGGGGCTC